AGCATTACAAATCATAAAAATTCATGGAAATTCGCTAATTTTTAATTTCTTAATAGCTAGAACGATAAGTAATGTATTGGAAACGCCCTTTTTAACAAATAAAATTGAACTATTTTATTTATTTATTTAGAAGATATGATAACTAATATAATAGTAAGTAACTATTTGGTAACATTGCTAGAACGATTTCGCGATCATTCATGTAAGAACGATAAATTCAAAATCGTCTTTACTAGAATGATGGTATTGAAATCGTTCTTGCATGAACGATTTTGATATCATCATTCTAGCAAGAATGATTCTGATATTATTGTTCTAGCATGAACGATTCTGAAATTATCATTCAAGCAAGAACGATTTCGATATCATCGTTCTAGCAAGAACAATTTTGAGATCATCGTTCTAGCAAGAACTATTCCGATATCATCATTCTAGCAAGAACGATATTGATACTATCATTCTAGCAAGAACGATTTCGATATCATCATTCTAGTAAGAACGATTTCGATATCATCGTTCTAGCAAGGATGATTTCGATACCATCGTTCTAGCAAGAACGATTCTGAAATTATTGTTCTAGCAAGAATGATTTCGATATCATCGTTCTAGCAAGAATGATTTTGATACCATCTTTCTAGTAAGAATGATTCCATTTTATTGTTCTTATGAAAGATTCTGATTTTATCGTTCTTGCATAAATGATTCGGAACCATCGTTCTAGTAAGAACGATTCTGATTTTATCGTTCTTGCATGAACGATTTTGAAATTATCATTCAAGCAAGAACGATTTCGATATCATTGTTCAAGCAAGAATGATTTCGATATCATCGTTCTAGCAAGGACGATTTCGATATCATCGTTCTAGCAAGGATGATTTCGATACCATCGAGCTTGCAAGAACAATTTCGATATCATCGTTCTAGCTAGGATGATTTCGAATTTATCGTTCTTGCATGAACGATTTCGAAATAATCGTTATAACAAGAATAATCTTAGGTACCATCGTTCTAGAAAGAATATTCCTTTTATCGTTCTAGAAAGAACGATTCCTTTATCGTTCTAGCAAGAACGATTTTGAGATTATCGTTCTTGCTAAAACAATGGTATTGATATCGTTCTTGCTAGAACGATGATATCAAAATCGTTCTTGCTAGAACGATGATATCGAAATCGTTCTTGCTAGAACGATAATCTCAAAATCGTTCTTGCTAGAATGATAAAGGAATGTTCTTTCTAGAACGATGGTATCTAAGATTATTCTTGTTATAACGATTATTTCGAAATCGTTCATGCAAGAACGATAAATTCAAAATCGTCCTAGCTAGAACGATGATATCGAAATCGTTCTTGCAAGCTCGATGGTATCGAAATCATCCTTGCTAGAACAATGATATCGAAATTATTCTTGCTAGAACGATGATATCAAAATCGTCCTTGCTAGAACGATGATATTGAAATTGTTCTTGCTTGAACAATGATATCGAAATCGTTCTTGCTTGAACGATAATTTCAAAATCGTTCATGCAAGAATGATAAAATCAGAATCGTTCTTGCTAGAACGATGGTTCTGAATCGTTTATGCAAGAACGATAAAATCAGAATCTTTCATAAGAACAATAAAATGGAATCGTTCTTACTAGAATGATGGTATTGAAATCATTTTTGCTAGAACGATGATATTGAAATCGTTCTTGCTAGAACGATAATTTCAGAATCGTTCTTGCTAGAACGATGGTATCGAAATCATCCTTGCTAGAATGATGATATCGAAATCGTTCTTGCTAGAATGATGATATCGAAATCGTTCTTGCTAGAATGATAGTATCGATATCGTTCTTGCTAGAACGATGATATCGGAATAGTTCTTGCTAGAACGATGGTATCGAAATTGTTCTTGCTAGAATGATGATATCAAAATTGTTCTTGCTAGAATGATGATATCGAAATCATTCTTGCTTGAATGATAATTTCAGAATCGTTCATGCTAGAACGATAATATCAGAATCATTCTTGCTAGAATGATGATATCAAAATCATTCATACAAGAATGATAAAGGAATCGTTCTTTCTAGAATGATAAAAGGAATCGTTCTTGCTAGAACGATAGTACCTAAGATCATTCTTGTTATAACGATTATTTCGAAATCGTTCATGCAAGAACGATAATTTTGAAATCGTCCTTGCTAGAACGATGATATCGAAATCGTTCTTGCTAGAACAATAATATCGGAATCATTCTTGCTAGAACGATGATATCGGAATCGTTTTTGCAAGATCGATAGTATCGAAATTATCCTTGCTAGAACGATGATATCGAAATCATCTTTGCTAGAATGATAATATCGAAATCGTTTTTGTTTGAATAATAATTTCAAAATCATTCATGCATGAACGATATATCAGAATCGTTCTTGCTAGAATAATAGAATCTGAAATCATTTTTGTTAGAACAATAATTTTGCAATCATTTTACAATAATGATAAAATGTAATTGTTTTTGCTAAAATGATAGTATCTAAAATTATTCTTGTAAGAACAATAGTATCAAAATCATTTTTTGCTAGAATGATGATACCTGAAATTATTCTTATTAGAATGATAATTCTGAAATCATTCTTGTTAAAATAATAGTATCACAGAAATCATTCTTATTAGAATAATAATTTTGCAATTGTTCTTACATGAATAATGTATTAGAATTATACTTGTTAGTTTGATAATTTAAAATAGAATGATTATTTCAAGGTTAAAAAATATAATTTAAAATCATTCTCAAAAGAGAACGATTGACTTTTTTATTTTTAAAATAATTTATAATTAATAATATTTATTTAATTTAAAATTTTTGATTTTTATTAATATTAATAATAGGGATAGTGTTAACTTTAATATTAATATTAAATAATATCAATATATAAATACATTTATAAAAATAAAAATAATAAAAAATAAAAAATATTAATATAAATAAAATAAAAATAAATAAAAATAATGATTATCGTTATTTACTTTTTTTTTTATGACAATGATTTCCCTAATATATTTTAATTCGATTTAAATTCCACCCTATACTTTCATTTTGAAGTTGATTAAGAACATTAAGTGCTTCATTTTCAGGAAAAGTATTAAAATGTAATAATTGTTCAAGTATTGTTTTTTCATATTCACTTATTTTTCTATATATATGTTTTGTAGTTATTGGATTTTCTTTATCATTATTATTATCATTATTTGATTTTGCTTTTTCTTTTTCTTTTCCTTTATTATGTTTTTCTATTACTATATGTAAATCTTGTAATTTATGTGATACTATATTATGTGCACGACGACCTTTTACATTTCGTGGTTCTATTTTATAAACATCTTGATGTAAAATTTTATTGAGTCGTTCAATACCATTATTATAACAAGAAAATAACCTTTGATAACCTTCCTCATTCATTTCTTTTGTATTTTTAAATAATTCATGAGTTAAAGGATT